ATCAAAAGGGTGGCGTCGGGCGTCCGGCCGCGGGCCGGGTTCGGGCAGATAATTCATGTTGATGTGTCGGGTTACATCGGGTCCGGGCTTTAAAAGCCACGGGCTGGGTCGGGTCGGGTTGTAATTTTCAGGCCCATTGAAAACTCTAGGCTAGGGTGTAGAGTTACATTCAAGCTATTTTAAGGCACAAATATGTCATTTTGGTGATCAAAGATGAGTTTTGAGGGATACAATCATTGACTACAGGGGGACTTTAAAATATGTCAGTGCCATTGTTTTGTCTCAAGATACACACCAGTAATGTTTTTTTTTTCTAAGACACGTTTTTAAAAGCTATAAATGCCCTAATTGAACTAAGGCTTAATCCTGGCTTAATTTAAGCACTGTCTGTGAAACCGGGCCACAATATACATTGTATAATTATATTAAAATGAACACAAAGCAGTTTTAATATTATTATGCTCCATCCTCTTAGAGTTTTGCTTCACCTTCAGTACATCTTTCTTTTTTTAATGTGTTTGAAGTATAATCATACAGAGAGTAATAAATTGAACACAATTTGAACTAGCTTTCTCTAACACATGCTCGGCATGATAAAGTATTGCCAACAAGGCCAAAGCTCAATGTATCTGGTGTATTTCAAAGAGCAAGAGTGACAGCAGAAGCCTTGAGTAGATGGATCTAGGAATCAGTGCGGTGGAATAGAGGGAGGAGAGCGGATGGTTAGAAGCGTCTCGACAGCGGTCTCGCAGGAAAGGACAGAGCCGCTGTGAGTCACGTTAGCCCTGGAACAAATCTCTCTGTGTGCGCTGTCACCATGACCACAGTCACTCCTGGCCTCTGCTACATCAGCACCACCAGCATCCTCATGCCCTGCCTCCATTTTAGCCCCAAATATTCCAGCACAAACTGGCCTGAGCCACATTTGGATGGGTGTTGTCAATGCAACATTTCATTAAAAACAGGAAGTGCTTCTACTCTTTCATACTGTCGCTAGTACAAATTGAACCCTGATAAGTGAAATATATAATATGCAAGGAAATCATCATCCTTAAAGTCAACATGAAATTAAAACTGACCTATACTTTCTTAAAATGATAGTTCACCTAAAAATGAAAATTCGGTCATTAACTTCTCCCCCTCATGTTGCTCTAAACCCATAAGACTTTCGTTCATCTTCAAAAAAAAAGATATTTTAATGAAATCTGAGAGATTTCTCTTCCTCCATTGAAAGCCTATTCATCCAAAACTGATGCTTCAGACCGTTCATTAAGTGATTGTAAAGTAAATCCATATGAATCTAGAAGTCTTATGAAGGGTGGTCACAGTCGCTTTATATGATGAACAGATTTAATTTAGGCTTTTATTTGCATATAAACTTTGATCAGCGCACATTATACATAGAATCCTCAAATATGATAAACCGCACTTACTCGACACGCAAGAATAAACCTCACTGGTTCTTGCGGAAGCTCAAACAGGCTGGTGTGACATGAGAGAATGTCTGGTTCACCGTTCGTTTACCATAGTATTTGTTCGCTGATCAGTGTTTATTTGTGAATGAAAGCCTAAATTAAATCTGTTCATCATATAAAGCGCTCAATATGGATTTTTTTTACGATCTCTTTATGAACTATCTATTTTGAGAAATATCTTCATTTGTGTTTCAAAGATGAACAAAATGACGGGTGAGTAATTAAATAATGATAACATTTTCAAATATCCCTTTAAAGTGGTGAACGTAACTCAACGGGTTTAAATGGTGTAATGAAGTCCAGGGGAAATGAGAATTCCTTCTGTAGGAGCTCATATTTTACCGCAGGGATTAATGGGTGAGAGATTACAGTATGATTCAGTTATATGCAGACTCGTGCAATATACTAAACATAAGCATAGTGCAGTTTCAAAGAAACCTCTCACCCTCCGTTTGCATCATCGTGAAACTGAGGACATCTGGATCTAACCTTGAAGAAAATTCTAAATAAATCACATATCTATAGAGGACTGTGATGTCACTGTTATTTGTTACGCTTCAAAGAGGTTGGTGGCCTTTACCCTTCTCTCTGTGAACGCATGCTGAGAGAGTAATGTATAGATTTTGGTTCAAACACTACACAAGTGAATGGGAATTTAAACATGGCTCCACCTTGGTGTGAAAATATGTATTTTTCTGAGGTTCTGCTTCAATTTAGATGTTTCCATTCCACTCTAAAAATTGGCATGCCTTCGATTTCACTCTAAACATTTACCCAGACGTTAACCTGCTGTTATGCAAGTATATTTTGAAGACTAACAGGATGGAAAGTGATATTGAAGACACAAAGGCAAAAAAACGTAAACTGATCACCGATTAGAACAATAATCCCAAGAAAACATCTTTTGCTTAAAAAAAGAAAGGATTACTTGGAATATTTCTTAAAAATCACCATGAAATCAAAATGGACAATTCAGTATCATGAATGATTTATCTGTGCACATTTAGTGTGAATACTAGTTACTAGTAGTTTACTAGGGACATCCTATCACTCACATGAGATCTACCAATAGCAAACTACAACCATCCAATGAATTCCAAAAGGACAAAAACAAAAAAGTAATTTTGTTTAATTTTGTTTCTAATTTGAGAAGCCATTTTACTCAGATATACATATAATTGTGAAGAAAAGACTTTCGCAAATTCCGTTTCATGCCTACTTTAACAAATTGCCAGTTTTTCATATTAAAATCAGAGCAGCACCAGGGGATATGGAGTTATTGTGAAAATTGCAATATTGTAATAAAAGAAAACTAACTAACATGATTTCCAACCTTAAAATTTTTAATCTAATACATGACATGGACATGAAAATGTGCTGCACCAACCTCGAGTGATAATCTTATTCCTGACTCCTGAATGAGTCCTGAATGATGGCCGAGTCAGATAAGGCATCAGCACCAGCAGAGATCAGAGACAAACGCTCCTGCCGTGCCGTTAAACACTTTTTCTGACCCTGTTCTCTCTCTTCCTCGGAGGATTCCTCTCAAGGTTACTCTGAAAAGAGCACTGCAGCGCAGAGAGCACACAATGATTGAGGAACAACTGCAATCCTGAGCAGCACCAGAGGACTGGAGCTGAAGCTGCGTACCACAAATCAATTCACATTAGGAGAAACAGCTTCTCTCAAAGTCCTTCACACGGGCTTGGACACTTTCAAACAGATCCGGATCAAAGTTATGATAACAAGTAGCCAATGACCTGTGTCATTGCACATCAAACTTTTGCATATCACTAAGCCACAGTTAGTATTACTGTACATATTATTTTGCATTGTGATGCTTTTTGGGTAATTAAAGACAATGATAATTCTCCTTAGATTTTAACTACTGTGATACAGTATTGTTATTGTGTGCTTATGAATATAGTCCCACAATGTAAAAAAGAAGGATCTGAATTTACAGTCTTCAGTTAGCACTCATATTTGATCCAAACCGACTTACAAACGTGAATAAAAAAAGCAGAAGTGATTATTCCAACTGGGAAAACATCACAAATACTGCTAACATGCTAAATTCATACTACTGTAGAAATATCTATCAAATATACATATCTAATATCAATACTAACTAACTAAAGCTCTACATACAGGTTATTTATTGGCATCAATGGTTCTATGAAGAACCTTTAACATTCATAGAACTTCTTTAGGTTATTTTAGGTTCTTAGATTAATAAAACGTTCTTCATACTAAGACAAAACGGTTCTTTTAAAAACTGGTCTTTGGGGAACCGAAATTGGTTCTTCTATAATGGCATCGCTGTGAAAACCCCCCTTAGGAACCTTTATTTTTAATAGTGTACTAACAATACTGTCAGATATCAAACTCTATAATATCAATACAGCTAATAAACAAAGATCTGCAGGAATGTAACAACATATAGGATATAGCTACTATCAATGCAGTAATGACAACGTAAATCTCTGCATTGCTAGAACATAAAGCTCTAGCATTGTAATACTACATTTTTTGCATATTACTTCAGCTCTGCACAATCTACTCTTATAGGAAACGGTATAGAGCACACTTATCATTTTTCGCATGCACTCAACAGTGATGGTTGGTTATTCCAGCTCAAAGGCATTATATTTCACTGAAAGAGGAGCAGTATACGGACACATGGAGATCCATAGAGCATCACTGTGAATTCAGTCAAACCAAATGCACATGCTGTCGTGACAAGATTGAATGCAATCAGCAATGGAATAAATCATCGAGGAGATTCACACTCACACACGCGCACACATGTAGCAGGTTTCCATTCTTCATGACTGCTGCAAGGTCATTTTGATGCTTCAAGATAGCACGAGCAAAACATCTCGTTTTAATCTACATTTCTCGTGATTAATCAATTGCAGAAAATATGAAACCCGATAGCAGGCTAAAATCGAGGGAAATGGAAAAGCCCGATCAGTGTTGTTCTGACGGATGGATATTAGGTGAAGGGGCGAGGTTTAAGGTGCCTGGTCTCTATGGGAATATGGCTTTTATAAATTGCTCTTTTGATCTATTCTTTTACACATGGCAAACCAAAATTAACATAAATACAGTAAATAAGTAACAATGTGTCGTAGGATATAGGCTATACTGAGTGCAAAATACAGCACAAAAAAAATCTGCTCGCCGTAAAATTATTTTTGAGATGATGCATGCGCCAATGATAAAAAATATTGCCTTAAAACAGATTTGTATATCATTTACGTACAGTGTTGTAATTATAAAGATGTATTTTTGATGATTACGTTTGCATCCATCATTGATGTGCTCACAATATCTTTCAAATGAATGCATCTTAGCCTGTAGAAGCTTAAACCTGCAACATATAACATAAAACACGTATGCATACCTATATAAATGTGCAATTTAAAACATGGACGAGCATTAAATCATATTTAGGCTATATAGATTCACTAATTATAAATCAGCTCCAAAAACACGACTTAATTAGCAATAGAGGTCACTTACCAGAGCGATTCAGTTATTATTTTTTCCAAATGCTGTCAAGAATAACTGTATATAAGATACGGTGAATTTTTAGTCGTGATGATGAGGAGGGCTGTGTGACATTGCCTGTATCTTCACCCTGTAACGAAGGCGCGTGTGACGTGTAACGGGGTGCAACCCTACAACACAGGCAAAATTACGACTCCTACTATGGCGAACGCTAGACTTATTAATATTAATAGGCAGACTGACGTTGCATGGTAACCTTCCTGGAGCGTCCAGTTACGTAATCTAGTTAGTATTCATGGCCGAGCCTAAAATTCTTGATAGGCCAACCGACTATCGCTCACTCAACTTTCTTTCAGCCAAACGGTTGGGCGATCGTCACGTGATTTGCACTCTTCGCACTCTCTGCCTTTCAGCCAATCATTTAGGTCTATTTAGGCGAACGTGATGTTACGTAATTAATATTCATTAGCCAAGCCATCGCCATAGTAGAATTGGCTAATTCGCATCCTAGAGCGATCCCTTTCATCCCTCACCACTCTCCAATGTGCGAGCGATTCGAAATTAATTTGCTATCAGCATCACCAATGTTTTAATTAAAACGGGTTTTTATTATGATAAAAAACGTCACATGTTTAATCCAAGCTGACTTCAAAAGGATTTACGCAAACGCCAGTGTTTTCCTCGAGCAAATGATTGTGGAAATAGAAGCTTTTTTTTCTTTCTTTTTTTATTATAATAAATTAATGTCATATATTGTGTGTTTAATGCCTTTTAAGAACATGCACTGAGTCCGAAATCACTGGTCTGTGCATGATTGCACGTGCTCTAACTCGTGCACATAATTGGCCAAAAGGACGGAACCATGATGCGCTTTTCTCTCCGTCTTCATCGACTGTTATTAATGTAAACTCGACATAACCTGCCTTTATCAAAGATTAAAATAGGCATACTCTTGCCAATTAATAACATGTCTGCTAGTCTAGAGGTAGCCTAAGTGCAGGAGTTTGCAACCTCATAGATGCCACTGACCCCCAAATATGATCATCTTCGTGCAAAGGACCACCACATCCTAATATAGGCTAGGCCTACTATCAAATGCAGCTAACCTGCCTATATTTTCATGTAAAAAGTCTCAGTCTCTCTCTCTCTCTCTCTCTCTCTCTCTCTCTCTCTCTCTCTCTCTCTCTCTCTCTCTCTCTCTCTCTCTCTCTCTCTCTCTCTCTCTCTCTCTCTCTCTCTCTCTCTCTCTCTCTCTCTCTCTCTCTCTCTCTCTCTCTCTCTCTCTCTCTCTCTCTCTCTCTCTCTCTCTCTCTCTCTCTCTCTCTATATATATATATATATATATATATATATATATATATATATATATATATATATATATATATATATATATATATATATATATACACAGTATACACACACATATACATAGGCTACACACACTAACTTTTATGTTAGATCCGATTTATCACAAATCAAGATTAATCGATTTTGACAGCACTAATTTAAATAAAGTATATTATTTATTTAGTTCCATTTTGTTATTACTAATTTGTGTATTTATTTAAAAAAAATTACACTGTTTTTCTCCAAACTTTTCCACGAACCCCCCTGCGGTCCTCAGACCCCAGTTTGAAAACCCCTGGGACTAATAAAAGAAGATTAACACAAACCAATATTTATGCCAAGAGGCTATGAGTTTTTCGACAGCTATCACTAACAGTGTTTTGAAGAGACATGCAGTCAGACATCAATCTCTTTTTGCACTATCAATTCTATGGAACAGCAATATGATATGACATAAATATTGAGTAAATAACATTCATTAAGAATTAAAATGCTATTCTTCTGCCACATAATAAAGTCCATGTAGGCCATATACGAATGCAAGCATTGTGGAAGCTTGTCATAATGTTAAATATTACAATCTCACTCAACTTAGAGTCGGAACTTGGTTTTAAAACTGGATATTAGCCTACCTAATTCGAACAACAGTTTATTTTTTCAACAGTTTTACATGATGAGGTGCTTTGGTAATGTTAGCTGCTGATTCCTTCAGCAAGCTGTTGTTTTGAAGCACACATCATATGAATCATAACATCTGCATATAAAGCTCAGCAAAAATTTTGAGTTATTTGTTGCAATCTGTTGTGGAATTAGGTATCTGCGATGAAACCTGCACTGCAAAACCTGTGACTGTCAGACGTAGTTTCAGAAGTGCCAGTATTATTGGACATAATGGACTAATGCAGTGCTTAGCAACAGGCAGAATGACGATGTGACTGGTTTTCAAATAAGGCTGCCAGTCACCATTCTCCTGCTGAGAACAGGAACATCTGCTGGTTTCTCAAGTAGCTACTGCATCACATACCTTTACATCAAAACAATATAGGGAACTAATTCATTACTGTAAACCTAGAGTTTGGCCTGATGAAACAGAGACAGAAAAAACATTTTCTTTTCTTAAAGCCTGACATATGAAATAATAGTCAGATTTTGAAACATTGAACAGTTTAGACAAAATAAAGTTTGCACGTGTGTTTTTTGTTGAGTATCATATTTGAAACATCAGGCTTTTATGGCTTATAGTGAGAATATGGAGCTCATACTCGAGGAGGAAAAAAAGCAGATTTTATTCAGAGGCCCAAACTGAGCAAAAATATGCACTTTGGTGCAGCTGCTCATATTTATAGGGACAAGAAGATGAAATTGTGATGGCTTGTAATGTAAATCATTGAGATTTATAAAAGACTACTTCAATAAGCGCATATAAATATCAGTCGTCACTATATCTGACAATAATATGTCTTAGTAAGATTATATTTAAATGCTTAGTTTAGCAAAGTTCTGTAGTTTTTATTGTACGAGCAAACATGATGCAATCCATTACAATGATTATACAAATTATTCTTATGTTTACATCATAAAAATCAGTAAAGATTTCAGATTGATTTCATGATGACTGACTTTATCAGCACTTCATTATGTTGTGGTCCTTTAGAAGTGCCTAGCAAACAAACAATTCAAACAAGAACATATGCTTTATCTGATTCAACCTCATCCTAATGTTAGGAAAATGAAGAAACCAAATCACCCATATGCTGCTATACTTATAGGGTAATCATCATCAAGCTGTAACAAGCCAAGATGAAATTATTTGTTCTATTTAGTTCCTCGAAACCTTGTCACAACAATGGATTACTTCATTAATGCTAAATTACACCTCTCCGCCTCATGAGGATACAGCACCTTTCAGCTAAACAGAAAACCTCCAGCAGATGCTTCTGACTCAACATCTTAATTTGGGTTTCATCTGGGTTTCATTTCTGACTCCAGTCTACAAAGACTACTAACTGTTGTTAACTGCTCCCTGCAGACTGGGTTTTTAGTGCCTTAAAAAGTGTCACGCTGCAGTGTCTACTGCAGGAAAGCAAGCTGGATTTTTTCTCTTCCAAAAATATTCGATGCCAAATTGCCAATAATTCATGATTATTTTGCTGCAGGCACTGAAAAGTCGTCAAATGTCTCTGAAATCTCATTGAGCATATTTCTCTGGTCCCAGCGCGAGGCTGTCATATGTCATATCCTTAATATTATTATCCTTATTTAAATAAATCAGCAAAGTACACCAAAACACACTGCATGTCTAAATAAACACCAGCTACATAACAGACGGACCATATCAGAGCTGTTCCAGCTGTACAGGACGGCCTGAAACAATTAAACAGATGGAAGTCTTCAGTTTAGACCTGCATAGCATCTCATTTGCAGAATATGCCATCTGAATATGATACGTAATTTATTTCCGCTTAAAAATTAAACGAAAATGCAAATCCTTTAACAGTGTCAGTCAGTATGTGGTCTGTATTGTCATGATGCAGTTGCTGCAGATTTGTCGACTGCACATCCATGATGCGAATCTCCCGTTCCTCCACATCCCATATACGTGCGCTACTAAGATCTGAGACTGTGGAGGCCATTTGAGTATAGAGAACTCATTGTCATGTTCAAGAAACCAGTTTGAGGTGATTTGAGCTTTGTGTCATGCCGTGTTATCCTGCTGGAAGTATAGCCATCAGAAGATGGTCGTAAAGGGATGGACATGGTCAGAAACAATACTCGGCTGTGGTGTTTAAATTACGCTAAAATGGCACTGTTGGGGCTCAAAGTGAGGTAAGAAAATATCCTCCGCACCATTACACCACCAGCAGCCTGGACTGTTGATAGAAGGTTTTTTCATGTTGTTTATGTCAAATTCTGACCCTATCTGAATGTCACAGAAGAAATCGAGACTCATCAGACCGGCAATGTTTTTCCAATCTTCTACTGTCCAATTTTGGTGAGCCTGTGTGTGCTGCGTCAGTCTCCTGTTCTCAGCTGACAGGAGTGACACCGGTGTGTCTTCTGTTGCTGCTGCACATCTGCTTCAAGGTTTGATGTGTTGTGTGTTCAGATATCCTCTTCTGCAGGCCGAGCGGTTATTTGACTTACTGTTGCCTTATCAGCTTGACTAGTCTAGTCATTCTCATCTGACCTCTATGTGTCAATTTGCCCACAGAACTGCTGCTCAATGGATATTTTCCCTTTTTCGGGGCCATTCTCTGTAAACCCTAAAGATGCGTGAAAATCCCAGTAGATTCTGGCACCAACAACCATGCCGAGTTAAGCCAAGTCACTTAAATCACCTTTCTTCCCCATTCTGATGCTCAGTCTGAACTTCAGATCTAAATGCATGAATTGCTGATTATAGATATTTGCATTAATGAGCAGCTGAACAGGTGCAGGCCTACCTAATAAAGTGGCCAGTGAGGGTAAATATATATGGTAAAGAGAAAATACGATACAGGTAAAAGGTAAAACAAATATGATCCAGAGACTAGCCTATATAAAAAAAAGGTAAAAAGGTGAGGATAAACATAGTAATCAAATTCAAAATGTACATTTTCCAGTTCAGCACATATGCATATTGTTGTGCAGTTTATGATCATATAAAATTACAAAAGATTTCGTAAAGACTAAACACTTACAAATGTATGAACACCTATATTAATTCAAATACTATTTCAATTAATACTAGGAATACTGTAATATATACTATATAAATAGTTACTAGTAACTACAAAAAGTACTAGAACCTAATGAATAATTGGAAGTAAAACGGATACCAGCAACTCGATTATAGGCTACTACATAATAGCATGAATTGATAAAGAGCCTAGTAACATAAAAATATGATAGTTTTAATTGACAAATGTTAAAACGTCTTGCTATAAAACATCTCCAACTACACATGGATCGAGTTATGATTTCATTTGCGTGTTTTGACTGAAACTTTCTAAAAACAGGATCCTGTAGAGACGCTCGCGCAGCGCTTCTCGCTTGAGAGTCGCGCGCTGCGCTCGTGG